GGTATTTCGAAATGGGTTAAGATTATACATGGTTGCCGCATATTTAAACTTTTCCTCCAGTCTTTTACTCCCAACCTAAAACAGGTGCAATCCTTTTCACCATAATTGCATATTATTTGAAAACCCCATCATTAAATGGCCCTCCTACGATTTGTTAACGTCAAGTATTTTTTTTTAACCCTCTGAATCCGTTCTCTTGTTATAATTTTGGTCCAATATTTCATACATTATTTTGTGATATCTCGCATAATTTTGGATCAAGTAGAAATAACTGATATTCAAGTAACAATAATTACCAAAAAAATCAAATAATCGAAAAAAAAACAAAACAAAACGTGCTTGTGCGATGCATAAAAACAAAATGATGCACAACATATGACCTTGATGAAGAACATTCATGAAATTGTGAGAGAATCGCTGATAGATGCGCGACACAGGCATGCAAATTTCCGACACCACTCTCCCTTACACATGTTAAATAAACGTTAACAAAACAAACAAAAATAATCTCGTATAAATGTCTGAAACAAAAAAATATTTATTGGAAAAAAAGTACCTGGAGTCGCTGTATCAAACCTATCACATCTTTACCATAGTAATATACCTGTTAGGTCAAGGGTTAAAGTTCAAAGGTTGAAAAGCACATTTTTATAAACTGACCCAACAACAACTGAATTTGACATTTTTGGGGGGAGAAACATTTACGGAGAGTGAGTGGAGAGGGAAAAGCAGGGAGTCAAGCAATTTAGTCTGGTGCGGTACTGAGTAGGTACAAGTTGATGATAGAGAAAGTGAAACAAAAATCGCCAGGTGAGACTGCAATCCAGATACCAGGAATGAACGGTGTACCGGAAAAGTCGTAGAGTGCAACTATGCAATATTAGAGAGAATCAGTTTTAGTCAGTGAAAAGAAGTGACTTTATGAAAGGAATCCATGGTGCAATTATACGAACATGGGATGGAAATCTACTGCCAAAAATTAAAATAGAGAATAAAGTACCTTGTAGAGAACCGACATGGTTCAACATATAAGCACAGGCTACATTTTTACCACATTTTCACCAACATGCGCTTATTACCCTATAGTGTGCTGCTAGACTGCCACATTACAGTTATTACTGGGAATGTCCGTAGCAATATTACGCATAACCATGACTGGAAAGCATTCATAGGGTTTAAAACTAGAGATACGCATCAATATATTGAAATTACTCAACGTTTATATTGTATTATATGCAAATTGAATGAGGAAAATATACAGTTCATTCACCTACCCATGCGCTAAAGTCGCCATGCATAGTCTAAGTCAATAACAACGCCAAAGTTATCATGGAAATAACACTAAGCATGAACGGTTTATGTACGTTGAATTATGGAATCTGTACACCAGTTGTCATGAATTAAAAAGTTTTGGTCAAACGCTGTTGGTAATTAGGAGCTCTGAATAAAGTTTTAAATTTGTCAGTACTCAGTTTTTGGTCAACTGCTTTAATTAACAACAGTACAATTTGCATATAACAATCGTAAACTCAGAGTAAGACAACATATTCTAAAGCGTCCCAAGTTTCACGCCCCGATTTCCTATTTACAGGCATTATCAATTGCCATGCATTAATGAAAATCCCAACCACAATGCCACATTTTCACATGACTAGTGTATGCAAATTAGTAAGTCACATAATTGGAATTCAGCCAATGAGATTGTCGCATTCCAGTCATGTGTACATCATATGACTTCATTTAGCCAATGAGAAGCATTTTGATTTTATATAAGCCAATCAGTAGAATTACAGAGATGAGATAAAGGTACATGTACTAGTCAAAGAAAATCTTGCAGTGATAGACACCACAGCGTTTTTATTAAATAGCTTACATCGGAATAACTCTGGCTGATAACTTCATAAAGTTTATCATGTTCATGTAACATTTCTTCTAAGTCCTGTGGCTCTGTAGGAATGTTTCCTGTTTGGCAATGCTCCACCCATTCATACACATGGGATAAGTACTACAAGAAAAACAAGCAAAAAGTAATGAATCCAACCTCATGAAACAAGACATTATACAGAATACTTAAAGGGAGAGGGTCGTCACCTATGCATGCGCGAGAATTGAGTCCCAAGCGATGATAACACATGCTAAAACGCAAAGGCTCATGGGTAGAAGAAGCTTGTTTGTAAACAATGACACGCTATGGCTATCTGACGCACGTGCAGGTGACGACTCCCCTGCTTTAAAAGCTGCCTGGATTTCTACTGAGAATAAAATAGTTTCAGCTCTAGTGGTTATTACTAATGAAGGAAAAATAAAATTCATTCACCCATCATTTAAGATCAACTTATTAAACATATTTTCCAGATGTTTAATTTACTTCTTCAAGGATGATTGGCATGTTTTTTAAACAATAACAGAGTAATTTTTCAAAATAATTCAAGGTTTGCCTTCAGCTATCCATGAAGAAAGTGACATTAATGGTTGTAACAAAATCTAAAATTAATTCTACATTTACAAATAGCAAATATTTTATCAGAAGATCAGGCTTCATGAAGAATTTCAATGAGATCACTCAAGTGTTGCCAAGACACGTGTTAGTAGATGATTCCAACAGCTAAGCTCCAGCGATTTTGTATCATCCACATAGAGTAGGCTTCTTTCATACTTTTTGCCAAAATGAAGAAAATGCAGTATTTACTCCATTAAAAGCACATCTCTAATTGACATAAAGTAAAAATTACACGTATTAAAATAAGACTTAAGATGACTGTAGACATTGTTTTGTCATTTGTCATGTGATCTTGTAATGGAAATCACAAGTATGAGGTTTGACCTGGGCGTGACTTGCACTGATTATTGCCGGCGACTCCTTCGATTCCTTCCAATCACCTAAAAAATACCCTATTAAAGCTTGGTAACGTCTCTATTTGTACTTGTTGATCTGTGCAACAGCCAAAGTCGCCATCTTTGTTTATAAGAGACCCATATATCTCGCGACTACCGCCCTTTAAGAAGATTCCGAGTGCCCATAAACCTTTGTTCATACAAAAATTGACTACAGTGTTCAAAGGCTTGAATGTTAAAATAAATTGAACTTACATCCTCCGCCTTGTCATGAAATGTAACAGACATGGCTAATAGTGTACTTCGTTCATCCAGTCCAGCAGCAAAGGTTTTCCATTCTCTGCCAAGTCTATTGGCAGTACGTTGAATTTCGTAACTTGCGTAGTGACCCGCTTCTGCTAATCTCTGCGCAACTGACATAATCCGATTAATATTCGTGTAAACATTCTGCAATACAAGTAAAAAGAGATTGAGAGTAGGTGAGCAATAAACAGTACTAGTCAAAAAACTCACTGATACGAATCGAACAGGTTTCTGACAAAAGTCAGTCTGGGTGGGGCTGACATATCCCAAGTATGCCAATGAACATTTTTCCTGTAATTAATTTTAAAAAAGCACAAAATTTCAAGAGGGGAAAATAAGCGATCCATAAAGCATGTTTAATAATTTCCTCTTTGCGTTTGGTTGAACGTAAATTTAAAAATATCGCATTTATATTGACAATCAGACAAACCGTCTATACGTTCTTTGTTTCACTGAATAACTCAGTATGTTTACCAATTTCCCTTTATAATGAATTGTACAGGAATTAGAAGCCATCAGGTGTTAACAACATCTGCTGATCACACTTACTAATTTCCTGAATGAACTTCGGCTGTAATATTATCATTCAAAGAAAATTAAACTATTTTCTACGGAAACATGTTTATAGATGTTCAATATTTGTCTATAATTTCAATTATAATTATAACCGGCCATGTCAATATTTACATTTGTAAAAAATGCAGGCATTGCAGAAGTGGAGAGTGAAGGTAAGTATATACTGTATTTGTTCTATTAGCGAATCTTCAATAGAAGCATACATCAGACAAAAATTGCATTTATGGTGAGCTTGATCAATAAAATTTAAAGCTTCAAATATAATTTTTTTTTCCATACTATTCATACACCTCTGTCATTTAAAAAACATGCACTACTCATAGAGCAAAGACTGTTATAGCATATTCAGTGGGTTTTAAATTCATGCTTTTATCATTTAGATAATGTGTTCTATGCTAAATTTTATATATTCACTGGGTTTTAATTTAGCGCATTTTCCAGTCAGCTAAATAAGCAAAATTAAAACCCAGTGAATAATTAATCCTTTTACAGTAATATATTTGATCTATTATACAC